TTGCTCCGACTTCCTTTGAATTCTTTCTGTGAGAATTAAAATATACCATACCATAGTGTATACTTAATTTGGGAATCTGTATGAGCTTTTGGTTAGGTTTGTTACTTGTCAATAAGTCTTGATAGCTGAATGTTGAGGAGCTCGATGGAGCAAGTGCTTAGGTTAGGTTAGGTTAGTTCCGCGTTCGGCTGCGATCGTTGAAGTTAAGCAACTTTCGCAGTGGTCGGTCATTGGATGGGTGACCAAAAATTTACTATCTCGAGTTCCTCCGTGATTCAGAAGGCACGTTAAGCCGTTGGTCCCGGCTGCATCTGCAGTCGTTAGCACCCGTCAATCCGCACTGGACCCGCGTGGGTGGATCATGGCCTATTCCTCCCTATTCCATCCATAGGGAAGGCCTGTGCCCCAGCAATGGGGACATTAATAGGCTGATGATGAGATGAATGTTCACTATATATTAAAATTTCTGTACTATTTTTTTTGTGCGTTTATTACGTAAGGCGATTTAGGGGAAGAGGGCGGTTGAACATGTCTTGTTTTTTCTTACAAGGGAGTGGGAGGGTGTCTTAATAGTTCTTACGTAAGATCACAAAAATGAGCAAAGTAAAGATTATACTTTAAAATAGTAGTTTGTTACTACCAAACTAATAGCACCATTGTAGATGTAGGTACCTACAAATGAATATTCTTAAAATTGGTACTTTGAAAATAAACATTAGAACAAATCGAATGCGTAGGTATTCGTTTATTCCTTTAGATTCTGACGAAATAAATATGAAACAGAGGGGTGGCTGTTGGACTATTCTTATTTTTTCTTACGTACTTACTGAAAAACTAGCCAAAATAATTTTACGTAATAAATGAATGGACCCTAATGATATCAGGTGAAATTGATATTAGGCAGCCATCGTAGCCTACAGATGGATACAAGAAACTCACGCGTTGCCTAGGTACTCTGCCTTCCTATTCTGTAAAAACAAACTCATTTATAACCGCGCAATGCAAAGCAACGCCGGTGTGATTTGATATATTTTTGAAGTCCGTGCTCTTATATTAAACACACACACGAATTAACCCCTAACCCGAGATATACTGAAAAGTGAAAACTAAACTAACCCACAGATATAAGAATTAAAGTGCGATTTCTTAAAGTGGGGGTCCACAGAGTGATATGTGTCAGGGACTGCAGTAACTCAGTTAACTTCTGACAATCATTGTGTTAATGCGCGAAGGAAAAATTAGGACGCCTTTTAAGAATATGTTATTAACGGAGGAGTGTAAGGTGTTGCATAATTAAAGCATGAAGAAGCAGAGCAGAAAGCCAATATGTTTATATGCTACGCAATATAAATTCATAAAAAGGAAAAAAAACACAACATAGGACTATTTGTTTATACTAAAGAGTAGGCATTATGCTACTATGAGGTTAATTATGCAATTAAATCATTATGCGAAGTAGAGAATTTGAGATGTGGATCATTTACTTCATAGGTTTCTTGCATTCTAGGTATTGCCAGCAGGACCCTACTTATTATAATGTTTAGGTATACAGTAGTAAATACTTGTTGACAGAAGAATTCCAATAATTTCAAACACAAAATGTTATTTCGAAGTTATTATCCATGACCTTTAGGCAAACCGAAAAGCTGGTTAAACGACTGGAATAGCCCGAAATATATAATAGTCCTTGTCTCTTACCGTCCTTCATACGCAAACACAGTATACATACAGGCAAGCGCACAAACACACATACACAGTACACACACTCAATCCCACACTTGTATTAGGTACTTATACGTAGTATATAGATCATTTCTGTATTCTGTAATTTCACTATTTCATCTGTCGAAATCTTGTATACCTCCTAGTGCGGGGCCCATAGTTATAAGCTGACTGTATGGTGTACATTTTTATAAATATATTTATATTTGTATTGCGAACACTAATAGACCACTAGTTTTATTATGTTATGGTAAGTGACCTTTCTCCTTGAGTCGGTTTCCTCATTCCTGAGGGTCGTGGTCATCGGTAGGAAACAGTTTTTCTTGCTGATGCGACGCCAGCTAATTCTATCTGCTGCCGAATATTTTGCCAAGTGAAAAGAAACTATAATAACCAAACGATGTTTTAATATATGGCTCAACATACCCCAGATGTGCATAGAATTTCTAAAATTAGGATAAATTCACTGAAAAAAGTGTTGTTTGGCTTCAGTCTTCTGCGACTTACATTTTAATATTTATATGTTAAAACGGTGGCAATCAGTGTCGCCGCACACGGGCCACACGCCACAGCCACAAACGCCGCCACGAGAAGCTAGAAGCGGCTATAGTACAGTCAATCTGTCGAAAAAAATATCGTTTCAGTGAAAAAAAAAACTAAAGGGTAAGTCTTGTTTTTTCTGTTGCCAAATGACGTCAGTAAGCCACCTTGGCGATGGGCATGTTCAACTCGTAGGCGTTTTTTGAAAAACTCAAAAAAACCGTCAAAAATTTTTTGAAACGCATTTTTCTTGTTTTGTATGCATTTTAGAAACTTTTTTTCGACCATAATTGTAGAGGGCGTTGAGTGCTACAATTTATGTCATTGTTGCAATCTCGTACAATAAAAAATGCGCATTGTAGGTGGCACTAAAATCTCAAAAAAAGTGTTTTTTCACTTTTTCACCCTGAAAATATCATTTTAATGGAAAACTTTAAATGGCAAAGTTGTTTCGTACATAATTACCAACAACTTTTGTATAAACAATTTTTTTGTATTACTTACCGTTTTCAAGTTATAAATTGCGCAGGTATGAAAAATCCAATAGAGCGGTTTTGGGCAGTTCAAGTACACTTTGCAGTGCACATTTCAATGTACGTTTTACTATTTTTTATTGTTTTTCATGAAATAGTTTTATTTTTATTTTTTTTCATTTTTTTTTTGTACTGTACTACTACTAAAGTGGCTGAAGCATGCGACAGCGGCCGACTAAGGTAAAGGAGAGAGGGGTGGGGAATCAAGCAAGTGACGTGTGGCGGCGTTTTGTATCGACGCATTAAGTAGCCGGTGCGGGCCACAAGAAGCGAGAAACAACGATTTGTAGCGTGTGGCGGCCATCGGCGTACCGTGTGTGTCGAGTCCATATAAAATGTATGAAAACTACAAGAAATATGCCAGTGGCGCCGTTTAGTGGTTGTGGTCGGTGGCCCGTGTGCGACGGTACTAAGGGAGTGAGGGGTGGAGAATCGCGCGAGTGACGTGTGGCGGCGTTTAGTATCGGCGCATTAAGTGGCCGGAGCGGACCACAAGAAACGAGCAACGACAATTTGTAGAGTGTGGCGGCCATCGGCGTATCGTGTGTGGCGAGTCCATATAAAATGTATGAAAACTACAAGAAATTTTACCCGTGTGCGGTGACACTTAATCTTATGGCCCGCCTGATGGTAAACAGCTCCCATAGTCTATAGACGCATACGATACAAAAAATATCACTCGCATCGTTGCCTACACTGACCCCCAACTCCGTGAAGCCCTGGAATCTTACAAAAGGACAGAAACACAACACCACCAACAGTTAGTGTTATAATGTTGAAAAGAACTCTAATATTAAAGTCATAAAGGGTTTGAAGAGATATCGTACTGATAAGTGCATGTTTATCGCATGCCGCATGCACCTCGATGCTAAGCTGCCCCACATGGCGTATGGCGTGGAGTAAACGTGAAGCCAGTGTGTACATAAAATCAACAACAACTTGTTCCTCATTAGTATTTTCAAGCACCTAAACTTAACTTGTACAGATATCGATATAAATTTATATCTTTAATGATATTATAAAGATTTTTATGTTTATAACGAATAAACTCAAAAACTACTTTTATATTATTTTCCCAATTCTCAATTTTTTTAGTTTTCAACTTTCATTCAAAATTATTTCCAAATATTTAATTTTCTATTGTAGTAAGAAGACTAAAATGTCGAGAAAATAATTGAATATTTATCATGAATATTTTATTTAAAGAATATAATAAAAAAAAAACAATACTTACCTATATTGCAAACATACTAAACATGCTTTCCAACCATTTAATTGTCTAATAAAATAAAAAGAAACGAGATAAATATTTGAATATGTTTTACTTTATGTAATATTTTTTGAGCAAACGTTTTTTTTTGAGGAGACGAAAATGCAGTAGTAAACAATTTTTTTTTCTTTTTCGTAATGAAAACTTCACTGAATAGTCGCTTACTAGCGAAAATATTGTATACTACACCACACATCAAATAGTAAATTAAATTAAAAAAATATCACGTAGTACAAGTTTCTAGTAGCAAAAAATATATAGGTACCTATATCACCAATTATATTAATGTCTGAACCTTAAATATCGTCTGAAATACCTATTTTGTAGATAATATATTGTTTGTTAAAGTTATCCTTAACTTTAATCGAAATAAATAGGTAGGTATACGACGTAATAATGTATGTTCAAATCTTTCAGTGTTTTTCCGTCCGTGCTACGAAACGCTACGAAATCGCCAACACAGTTTTTTCGGTAGTTATTTGTCATTTTACAAATAATGATGATTAAGTGCATCAATCACAATGATATTTTTTTTGCTAGTTAAGAGGTATTTATTAGAAAAAAAACCTTCTTCGACTTACAGAAGATCACAGAAAAAGGCCCTCTTCGCACACGATATAAGTCGGTTTTTGGTGATTTTGTATCACTATCAGTAAATATAAATTATTTTCCGCTTAAAAACATTTTTAGTTAGCGGAAAACTTGTACTAGTTACGAATTCTTAATACAAATTACGCCTTCGCCTATAGCTTATCCAATGTAATGAAAATAATGACTATAGATATAACGTACTATTTTCTGTTTAAATAAATAATAAAGTTATAAAGATACATACATCCGTTCCTTTAAATTATCCATATAATATAGTGATCACGTACATCCCACTTTTATTATCATTTCACTATGAGGAAACATCTCACGATTGTAAATAGTAGATGCTCAATAAATATTATCACCTAGGTTTGTTTGGTTTTACCGAGATGCTATTTGTGGTGTTTAAACACAAACGTAAATTTTCCTAATCATGCATTGTACAAATGCAGCCTTGATGCTGTGATCCGACCAAAGTGTGACTTTGAAATCCATAATAACTAATAAGAATCCACAGTTCATTGAAAACGTTCTCAAAAGTGGCGCGCTCGACACGTGCTATTGCAACCTGCGTACGCGAGGATCAAGGACGCTCTGGGTCTGCCTACACACGCTTCGCTCCGATAAACAGTGAAAAGAATTTCGGACTATTAAAAATGCGAAGGCGAGCCGAGTGCCGGCGAGCGCGGCCGAGACGCCGGTCACACGCACGACGCTCTCTATCAGCGTCTCCCTCCCGCCTCAGACCGCGGCCGGGCGCCCGCCGCCGCCGGAATTCGCGCGACGCGCCTCCACTCGCGACGTAGTTCAGTGTACGTGCGACCGTTCGCGGCCGACGACGACACGCAGTATACGTGCACCGCTCACTCTAATACGCAGTAGCCTACACCGCTGAACGCGTGGACTCGAGTGGAAAGTAGCCACGCTTTCTGTGTTTAGAAACTCACCAAACGTCGGAAAACCCTCAAAAACACCCCCCCAGAACTTTCAGTGATAACTCTTATCAGTGTGTAAAAGTTTCAAAGTGGCCAAAGAACTCGGAAGGACACCGAATTTGCGCAGTGACAACACACACGACACCGTCAGTGACTAGTATCGTAGCAGTTTCAGTGTTTCTGATCGTTTCGAGCCACGTTACAAGGTTATCGCGCCTCTAGTCCGCCAGTGATGAATTGAAAAATCGGCGCGTAGTCGCTCACGTGGTCGCGTCCCGCCCCCGCCTCGCCCGCGCTTATATTTAGCGAAAATCGTCTCTCTGGAACGGTCCGACGGCCGACGCTCGGCGCACATCGCTGTTTATGAACAGTGAGACGCCACATGTTATTGGCTTCGAATAACAGAGCCGATAAGGAGAAGATAGATAACCCCTACGGATCGCGGCTCGAGTCCGGCGACGTTCTGGAAATAGAAAGAAATATAGAAAGCGATCAGAAAGGAGGGCGGGCTGAGATGCTAAACGGCTGTGGTGTCGGCACACGGTGGTGAGGTCGGCCCGACACACCTCCGGAAAAATTCCACTGATCGAAACCTAGGCGGGCGCGATGTCATTGCAAGGGAGCGGCGGGTTTCAGAGTCCGTGGTCTTCGCAGACCGGGCTGACGGAGCTAGAGGGCACGATGGGAGAGTTGGAGCCGCTGGGCGAGCTCACGGAAGTAGGTTTCGAGCCGCAGACACGCGCGCGGTCTAACACGTGGCCACTGCCGAGGCCCGAGAACTACGTGGACCCCGCAGAAGACGCGGGCTCCAAGAAGAGCTCCAACCAGAATCTGTCCGGTAAATATGAGTCGTATGATAGCGGGGTCGCGGTCGCGATACGCTATTTAGGTCGCCCACGTACCTTGTCCCGACGCCCCGTTCGTGTGTAAGCCCAATAACAAAATAACACGACGAGTCACGATATTGAAAAAAGAAATAATAAGTAGAAATGCAAGCTTTACCCAATTTAATGTTATAATTATAATGAAAAATGGAAATATAAAATCGGGCAAAGGGATTAATCATTTTATTTAAAAGCATTGACGCTGTTGGGTATCTACCCACTGGGGATTTTATGAGAAAAGATTAGGGACTTCCATAATCCTCTACCAAATCCTAGTATGAAATCTATGAACCAGTAATAAAAAAAAAAAACTATGAAATTAAAATACTCATATATTTTTGTTTACATTATTAAATTTAACGATATTAAAGATTTAAGTAATATGAAAGTTTTCCGCTTGAGAAGCATTTTAAAACGAGCCGTCTCCTTTCGTATGTAAGCTTATTTCAACGAAAATCTTGAATGGTAAACAGACTGATACGCGTAGACAGTGTGTCGAACAATATCGTCATCGACAAAAACAAATGGATGTGAAAACAGAAGTCATATAATATTTTAATAAGTGAAGTACCCTACCTATACTATGAAAGCAAAAATGCCCTACAGAAAGTGTGTAAAAACAAGGTTCATGATAAGCTTTTATTTATGTAGTCATTAAAAGTACAAACAATCTACTGAAGTAGAAATGATATTCCTTTTAAAGAAGTTATAAATAAGTAGTTGATGATACCATCTGAATATATTACGGATTTAAGAAAAGAAAAAAGTTTGTTTTTGAAAAACAAATTCATATCAGCTACTATAAAGTTAGCTAATTCCAAATGATTTCCTATAATATTTCGTGGCAACATTTAAAGATTCATTAAGAATCCGGTTTCAAGAATATTAGTAACGTAATTTAATTAGTTAATAACGTTGATGGAAGAAAGTTATAAATATGAATTTTCTTTAAATGTTTTCATATAGTGCAAATCAATTAATTACTTTAATACAAAACCGAACTAAAACTTTAGAAGACTATTATTTTTGAACTACTAAAGAAACACTTGAAGATGAAATTTTACTCTAGAAATTTATAGTAGCATGGGGTCATGTTGATTAAATTGTATTATTAGATAATTGCATAGTCTGAGAGATAGAACTGTACATTTAAAGAGCTAAGGCCCATTTATTTGTGTTGCTTATCAAACTTCTAATGATTTTTTTTATACGTGGCGCATTAAATTACCCAACTTCACCTGACTACAAAATCAGATTCAAATTCAAAATTAGTGAAAATTAAATTATTATATTTGTATATTTTATTTTTATTTTATGGAAGAATAATATTTTTTGAGTTTATTTACATTTTCATACCTACAAAATGATTATTAAAACCAATGAAATTTACAGTTTTTATTTTTACAAAATATGTATAAGCTTAATTTATTTTGTTATTGAAATATGTTTTTAGTTATTATTTTTTCAAGCTTTTTTATTATAAAATAATAAAAAACAAACAGGTTTTGTTCATTGACATAAAATTCATTAATTATAGTGTATGTATACCTGCTGTAGTCGAGACTGGGTTTTTGGACTATTTCCACGAATAAAGGAATTAATTAATAAAATTCGTTCTGGAATGTGTACCGGAACTTTTATTAATAGAGGTTTACAAAGAATCTATAAAAAGTCAAATAATATAACGAAAAAAATGCGCCTTTATACCTGCGGGCTTAAGTGAGTAAAATAATTTATATTCGTTTAAACGATTCTGTCTGTGAAATTTCTGCGATACTTATGATGATAATTCTGCTTTTTAATTATTATGGATATTAAATTGATGTCTAAAGATGATTATATTATGAATTACAAAATTATGCGTTTGAATATCTTCTAAATAAATGAATGCCAAATGATTTTATGCGAAATTAAGATGAGGCCATCCGCTGATGTGCATAATAATATTTAAAGTTCTGCGATACAAGGTAGACCCGTATTGAGGATAGGGAGGTCTAGGGAGACCACGGCGATTGTGACACTGTCTGTGTGAATTTTTTTTCACTGTCACTCACGATACTCTTACTGTAATGGTGTCTCCACACGCTTGGTGTTTGTTACAAACGCCAAACAAAGTGCCAAAAGCCGATCACAATTACCCAACTCAAACGGGCTTCCTGCGTTTGGCTATCATGCTAGCACATTCCGGATGCCCAGACATGACGGACGACGTTATTGCAGCTATGCAATCGTTACAGCTTTAACTTAATATGTTTATAATGATGCGAAACCGACTGCAAAAAAAGATTATTATAAAAAACTTAAGATTTCTAATGCATCTAATAAATAGTTTTTTCATATTTTTTAACGGTATTTATTTGGGTCAAAAGTTGTTTAAATTTCTTTTGACCGAATGATCTGAAAATTGGTACACACTTATAATTTTGATGACAATACATTTTGACAGATTCGGTATCTTAGTAAATCCAAGTTGACCACCGCGCCGGCGCCGTTCCAAAACTAAAAAAGCGGCTAAGTGGGAGTCGGACCCACGCACAATAAGTTCCGTACCATTATACTATACAATTCTTATAGGTTTTCCTGTTATCTACAAGCAAAGAGCTACATTCCATATTTTTTCGTATTTTTTAGATACAGTAGTTTCGGAGATAATTTGAAGGATAGATCAATTATTCTACTAAATGTTTTTTTAAACTGTTAATTTAAAATTTATAAAAAAACATGTAAAATATTAAAATATAATTTATTTTAGAACTCACAGACATACATGTACATACTTAAGTACCAAATTTTAACTTGATCGATCCAGAAGATTCCGAGCAAATCGACTGTGACAGAGAACTGAGTGACCCTATAAAAGTTCCGTTTTCGACGCTACAATGCCAATGCTTTAAATTATTATTAATTTATCAATAAAAGATTTGAACGTGAGTCCATAGCTATCAAGTTCGTATTCCAAAATTTAACTAACTATTGCAAAATACAAACAGTTAAGATTTGTACTTAAAAATTTAAAACTCAAGTGTAATTAACCGTTAAATTATCTTACAACGACCGTCAGTCGCGTGCAAAACTGATTGCTGCCAAGCGTCTGGATGCATCGCAAACTGTTTGCCGAGCCTTTGATTTGTGAAGAAAAATCGACACCGACACCGATCACAGACGAACACAAACAGCAAACGACACTGACAGCTAAAGAGCCCACCACACGCTTGTGTTCGCTGTTTGCCATCTGTTAGACAAGAGTGTGGAGGCACCATAAACGGTCACTGGGCGAAAATGTAATGATTTTTGAGCGTGACCGTAATGGACGTACTAAGTTCTATTTTTTTCCCCCTTAAACAATATTAAAAATATAGCAGCAGGGTAACACTGAAACTAGTAACAGTTTTGGTGTCCCTTGCTGCTATATTTCTTCCATTTTCCAAAAACTCGCCAAAAATATAAAGCTTAGGTCTATGATGGAAATTTCCGTCGCATCTGATACCCTAATTTATCCACCTAGACCACTTTGCCAATCACTGCTATCATCTCTATAGAACTCCACACGGTAACCAGAAGTGATCACTGGAATACAAAGTCGCATTTAACGCTCAGCCTAGTTATTGCCTTCTTAATAGTTTCCGAAATTTCCATACCTGCCGATAGATTTTTACCGTCGCAGGATTTTTCTGTGTTTCTCCCATCTTTGTCCAAAGATTTATTCCGACTTTTTTTTAATTATTAGACTGACGACTGACAAAGGTTCGATGGTTCCACGGGGTAGGGGATTGGGTCAGGGTAAGCAACGGCGCGAGAATATTTTTGGTATCGCAAGCGTTTATAGGATATGGTAGCCGCTTACCATCAGACGAGCCATACCCTAGATTGCCACCCATTTAAATAAAAAAATAAAAAAGCGAACTGCTTAAAAATTACATTAAATTTACTTTTTTATTTCACACTTTTTAGTTAGGATTATTAGACAGTAAATACCAGTCTTGTCATTTTATTGAAGGAGTTAATAATGCGGGGATTATTTAGTAGCTTGCGGTGGACTAAACGACTAATTTATGAATCAGTCCATAATACCAACTACTTACTTCAGTAAGGCCTTCGACCAGGTAAATCACGCTGTCCTCGTCGCAAAGCTGGAAGCGGCTGGGAACTCTTTAGTGTGATGCAGGTCATACCTGGAAAACCGTAGATTATCAGTAGCGTTTAATGGATACACATCGGCTTCCTATGCAGTGTTATCAGGTGTTCCTCAAGGATCGCATTTAGACCCTTTATTCTTTAACAGATAGGTTAGATTCACAAGAAAGAAACAAGTCCACAGATCTTACAGCATTAACGGTAGCTTAATCTCGGAGGCTAGCCAGGTCCAAAACTTGAGCGTTACTTTGGATACTAAGCTCCGCTTTCATATTCAAATATATATAATATTGCAGAGAAAAGTTTTAGTTAGATAATTCACGAACCCTAAAACAAAAATCATAATATACCCGACCTTAATTTTAGCAGTAACCTTGAATAGTCTAGTATAGTATGGAATTGAACTTGTTCTGAAGATATTTTTATGGCATTTCTCTTATGGCGAAAAAACTGCCTAATTATATCGACAGGCTTCGACACTTAAATTTTTACTGGAGTGCCGCAGACGTTTGCTAGATCATATGGTTCTGTACAAGGTGTTGAACAGCATCTTTGACACACCTGGCCTATCATCGAAGATCTACTTTAGCATACAGCATTTCCCCTACCACCTGTAAAGGTAATTTTTATAGCTGTAGAGAAAAACTGGCGAAAAAAACTTCACAGCGTTGAATAATTATGTAACAACATTTACAAAAAAAAATTTTGTTACGGTGTCAATACAAAATCATTTCATTTTCGTCATAATTATAGAAAAAGCCTGCAAAGTTTGGAACAATTTAAACCCAAGCATTTTTGTCTGAAATATAATCAGACACTT